CTGGGGGCGAAGTCAAGGTGCTGGTCCGTGAATGTCTTGCTTACCAGTCATGTACATAATGGTTATTCTTAACTTAACGCCTTACGAGGAGAGTCCACTTTTCAGTCTGATGGCTGTTCTATTTGAATTTCGATGAAAAATCCTTTGTGCAGTTACTAATCTGTTGGAGGCGCTGCTGCTTTTATAAAGTACTATAGGTAGTTTGGTCGCTACAGCCCATAGGAATACGACAAAGTGGAATATTTTACTTTGGAATAAAATGATCCAACAGTCTAGTATGTTTGCGAATATTCCTATTGAAAATTTCAGAAGATGAATTGGCGAACATACGTTTGTTTTCGATAAATTCTTGTCAGGCCTTTACATTTATATGGTAATTAAGTAAATAAACTATGCGGGTTGATAGAAAAAATTGTACGGTTGTTAGGGCGGGGGGGGATCGGGGTCAAAATTTGATCAGCGTTAGGGGGGACTGGTAGTCGGCCGAGGTTCTAAGCTGCTGGTTGTTGGATTAGCGGCTTTTGCTCATGGTAACTGCGGCGCTTCGACGAAGTTCTTTTGGATGCACAGGACCGTTTGGCGTAGCCTGATGGTTGCCGCTTCTGCCGTAGCCAACAGATGCTCTCCAAAAAAATTGAATAGTTTGAGGGTGCCTTGTAGATCACTCGGAAGGCCTCTTTGGCATCCACGCGATGGTCTGAGTCTACCAGGAGCGCTAGAATGGAACTGTTTATATCCTTTAGTGCGGACTATGTAAAGTGTGCAATGTGATCTGCGTTTATGGCCATATTTTATACGTTTTTTGGAGTTCTCCCAACGGATTTTAGAATTCATTCTGGAGGATATCCGATGAAGTCGTAGAAAACACTTCGTTGTAAATGGAAAATGACACTTGGTCTCAAAATATTCCTGAATTATTGAACTTCTCTATGTCAAAGTTTTGCATACTTCTTTTAATTTGGGTAAATTCCCATTGAAATTTTCGGAAGATAAATTGGTGAACATAGGTTTGTTTTCGGCAAATTCTTGCCAAGCCTTTACATTTATAGAGCAATTAACTAAATAAACTATGCAGCAGAAGCCGCCGCCATCAGGCTACGCCGATGGGTCATGTGCGCCCAACAGAACTTCGTCGCGGCGCCGCGGTTACTATTGCCGAAAGTCGCTAATCTAACAGCCCGCAGCTTATCACCTCTCTCGGCTACCAGTCCCCCAAACGCTAATCAGATGTTCGACCCCGATTCACCGCAGCCCTGACAACCGCACTATTTTTTCTGCCAAACCGCACAGTTTAGTTAATTACCACGTAAATGTAAAGGACTAATGCGAATTTATTGAATACAAACGTATATTGCATGCTTGCAAACATCAGGTTTCGGGAGGGCATGATGGACCGAAAGAATCAAAATTACATGCATCTCGTCTGGGATATTTTCATCTATTTATGCTATCCTAAAAATGTAAGGGAAGAAGTGGGCTTTTCGTGTCTTACTTTTCCTAACCGTAATCGATACAAATTTTCAACCGAGACCCGTCATGCCATCTTGTGCAAAGTAACTTCATACTACTAACTTAAGTAATATTTTCAGTTGCAAATTACATTTGTAAATTTGAGTGGCAGTCTCTTGAGCTAGAGTGCATACGGTAAGTGATATTATATTCTGCTATAGTTTCGTTTTCGGTCCCTCGTTGTTATAAATATTCGTGAGCTGCCTTTCCAGAACTACTGAATAGCTGGTTATCATAGCAGATTTCTTGCAAGCCACTGGACCATTGGCCAAAGACTCAACTAACTCATGTAATTTAGTTGACCCAATTGTGAAAAAAACTCGCGGCGTTCGGCGGAATTTGAACCCGCATAGCAGGGAAGGCCTATACGCAGCCAACGCTCTACCACTTAAGCTAAAAACGCCACGCCTTAATCACACTTAGAACAATTTTACCCGCCCAGCCTAGTAGTCATTCTGGTGGATTCTAGATGATTGTCTAGGAAATCCTGCTTGGGCAGTCAGCTT